CCATGTGAATAAATATTATGAAAAATATTGAGCTCAAAATTGACCCTTGACACTTATTTGTCAGTTCCTGTATCTGCCTTTGTATCATGAGCCAAAAATAAGGAGTCATGCAAAGACAAAAGGCAGTAACAGTGTATGTTTTGTTTGTGATTTAGTTCAGAAATATATTTATTTTAAAATCCAACCTCTTGCCTCTTTCTTTTACACAGGGTCTGAACGCATTCTTTAAATAAACCTTTGTATTTGACCCCACATGTGACAGATGCAAGATCAGTGAGGCTACCCTGCTTCACATGTTCTGGTCTTTGTCTAGCTTAGAAGAATACTGGAAAAGCATATTTGAGGCATTATCCACAGTGTTAGGAGTTAAGATATCAACAAATCCTCTGATTGCAGTTTGGAGTCATACCTGGAGGGCTGCAGCTTCCAGTAAGAGAGAGGACACAAGGTGATTGTTTTTAGCACTTGACTGGCTCATCACCGTATTCTTTTAAACTGGAAAAACCCTGTGCCACCCCCTTTGGCACACTGGAATAGAGATTTTTAATTATTTTTTTTCCCCGAAAAACTCAGATATACACTACGTGATTCTGAACAACATTTTTTTAAGATGTGGAAATCTTTTTTTTTTAATCTTCTCTGATGAATCATTAACATCTGCTAGTGCTTGATTGCTTTATTTATTTTCTGTTCTGTGTATATTTCAATTTTTGCATGTGCATCGATTTGTTTTATGGGCGTATGTGTATTTTACTTTGCACTGAAATGAATCTGTGTTCTGCAGTGCTGACAGCAGGGGTGGCTTTTTTTCTACATTATATTGTGAAATCAATACATCTATTTAAACCTTTGTATACCTTTGTATTCAAATATACTTAAATGATCTTTAAAGTGAAAGTGTTTTGTGTATTTATTCATACTGTACATACTATACTGCAAAGTACGTTGTGTGTCAAACTGTTTTACTACGTAAGTGTCGCTGCACGTTCCTGATCAGCACTAAACAGAAAATCCAAAGCTGTTCTGTATCGTTTCAAACAAACACCATGATGACTCGACCTAGACGTCTGGTGAAAATCAAGCAAACAATGATCATGTCAGTTAGTCTTTCTCCTTTGCACGACTTCTTATTTTTGGCTCATGATACAAAGGTGGAGAATTTTGAGCTCAATATTTTTCGCATACAAATATTTTTTCATTATAGTAACTAGTTGTCAAATTTTGGGAGCTGTACCTGTTATACATTAGTTTGGACAAAACAGAAACTGTGAAGTCATTTTTCTCAGTTTCACACTCTGGAGAGTTAAGCTCTTTTAGCTTTGTAGGGCAGAAAAATTAAAAGGAGCTGTTCACTTGAAAACTGCCAGGTTAGGAGATGTGCCATATTTTTTGAACTATGAGTCGCACTTTTTTCATGGTTTGGGTGTTTCCAGCGACTTATATATTAAAATTTTCACACTAACAGCTATGAGAGGCTCCAGTCTTGTGTGTCAGTATCTGTTGCTCTTATTACTAATGTACCAATGTCACTTGGCTCTACTGCACATGTCTCCTGCAGAAAGAGCCTCTGTCTGTATCATGTCAGTCGATCGCACCATTACTTCTGTACCACTGAACATTTAAAATTTAAACAATATTATTATTATATATTATTATATATATTATATTATATTATATTATATTATTATTATTATTAAAGATGACTGAGAAGCCTCAACACAATTGCCCCAAGAAGAAAATCATATTTTTCAAGCTGCAAATAGTGAAATCTGCAGCCAAAATCAAGCAGCAGAAAGAAAGTTTGGAGTGAGCGAGAAACTTGTGACACCAGGAGGATGCACCATGAAACTTTCCTGAAGTCACTGGATGGATGGACAAAGCCTGGACTTCAGTGACACAGAAACCATCCTGTCGGGATTCAGAAAGGCTGGAATAATTCTAACTGGAACTGATGCTGAGTCTGTCAACAGCTACACAGAAGAGGAAGTGGCGCTCCGTTTACCTCCGGAGGTCGCAGAGTCAGAGTTGCTCAGAAGTGACACCGAGGATGAAGAATTCAGTGGATTTAGTGATTTGGAGTGAGATGGAGAGTTTGTTAAACTTGTTCTGTTCTGTTGTTTATGTTATAGTTTATCTGAAGAACTGTTCATATGTGACGTTAACAGTCCGTTGTTCTCTGTTCTGTTGTTATTACTAGAACTTGTCTTTCAGCATGAAATGTCGATTCCTGGTCTCTGATTTTATAAAATAAAAAAGTGTGGCTTATAATGCGGTGTGACTTATATATATATATATTTTTTCTTCATTATGCATTTTTTGGCCGGTGCGACTTATACTCCTGAGTCCTTATAGTCTGAAAAATACAGTAGACTAATGCAGTGTTTTTCAAACGTGTGAGTGAAAACAAAACACAGCTGCAGGTCTGTTTTTGAGGAGGTAACAACATTATAACATGACTTAAAGCTCACAAGAGTCCATTTTGCGTAATATAGTTTCTTTAAATATTTAGTTAATAATATAATATCCACACATGTAGACGACGGCTCTTGTTCTCCTCAGAGTTTATAACATTAGACTGGCAGTATCTGATGTGTCCTGTGCTCTCTTTAATAAAATGCCCGAGCTGACAGAGGAAATCAAAGATGGGCACGCGATAGGGGACAGGAAATGGAGCGCGCCAGGCTCCGTTCACTTCCTGTCTTATCGCGGCGTGTTTTTATGATGATTTTCCACGAGGCGTTATAATGTGTCTCTCACCTGCCGCGATAACGCCGAGGTCAGAGCGGGTCAACGGAGCCGTCACACTCATAACAAGACGAAAAGAGGAATACACGTAACCATGACAACGCAAAACATGAAAAACAAAACAGCTGAACATGACTAAATAGCAAATAAAGCCACATTATGTCATTTTTGAGCTAAACAGAAAATCAAACATGTTTTAATTTAATTTTGTTGCTTTTATTGCACTGAATAAATGAACAACGCGGAAACTAAAATACAGTAAAAGAACGAAACATCATTAGATACCAAATAAAGCCACATCATGTAACTTTTAGCCAAAATAGACTGAAATTAAAGTTGTTTTTCTTTTTTTCATTTAAGGCTATTTTTGCATAAAAAAAATAAAATAAACTGTCCTTACAATGAGCAGGCTTACATCTCCACAATCCTGACTCCTGCTGGTTTCCATGGCAATGTTGTTCCTTTAAATGCGCATTGTGTAACTTTACGGATGTGTAACTTCTTACAAAGAACAAGAAGAAGAAGAAGAAGAGGAAGAAGGAGCATGGTTCTTGTTGTGGTAGCTCCTCAGATGTTTATAGACGTGACTCTGAGTCTAGATGAGCTCAGAGAGAAGAACAGGTGAGAAACCAGGTGTGGAGAAACATCTGGAATTATGTCATGAAGGAGGAGGAGAAGGAGGGTGAGAGAGAAAGCAAAAAAAACAAAAAGTAGAGAGAGGGAAAGAGACAGAGGGTGGGAACAGAGATAGAGAGAGAGGGGGAAAGAAAGAAAGAAAGAAAGAAAGAGAGGGAAAAAGAGAAAGAGAGTGAGGGAGAGATAGAGAGACAGAGAAAGAAAAAAGAGATAGAGGATGGGAAGAGAGACAAGAAGAGATAAATAGACAAACAGACAGACAGACAGAGCGAGAGAGATGGAAAAAGCAACAGCAACAGGAAGGAAAGAGACAGACAGAAACCTTCAGAGTGATGGAGTACTGTAGATTGAGATGAGGCCACTATGTGACAAATATGTATTTATGTTAAACACATGAGGTCTGGTCTGTCCATAAACTGAAGATGACACAAACTTGGACGTGTCTCTGTCTGCAGGTTAAAGTACTGGTAACACAAGTCCAGTTGTGAATGCAGGACTTTTCAAAAATGAATCAGGCTTCATACAGTTCCTAAACTTTGTCTCTTACTGTTCGTCTAACTGCTCTCTGTGAAAACCAGGAAAAAACAAAAAGAACAGACTCCAAAACAAAGCACCTTTTCACATTTTATTCAAATAAAACACACACACACACGCACGCACGCACGCACGCACACACACACACACACACACACACACACACACACACACACACACACACACACACACACCAAACTATGGCCCATTCACCAAACTACTGTATGTCCTCAGGCTAAACTGAACTAAACCAGGACTAAACCAAGACTAGACTAGGGCTCTAAACCAGGACTAAACCAAGACTAGACTAGGGCTCTAAACCAGGACTAAACCAAGACTAGACTAGGGCTCTAAACCAGGACTAAACCAGGACTAAACCAAGACTGGACAAGGGTTTGACCAGGACTAAACCAGGACTAAACCAAGACTAGACTAGGGCTCTAAACCAGGACTAAACCAGGACTAAACCAAGACTGGACAAGGGTTTGACCAGGACTAAACCAGGACTAAACCAAGACTAGACTAGGGCTCAAAACCAGGACTAAACCAGGACTAAACCAAGACTGGACAAGGGTTTGACCAGGACTAAACCAAGACTGGACAAGGGTTTGACCAGGACTAAACCAGGACTAAACCAAGACTGGACAAGGGTTTGACAAGGACTAAACCAGGACTAAACCAAGACTAAACCAGGACTAAACCAAGACTGGACTAGGGCTCGACCAGGGCTAAACCAGGACTAAACCAAGACTGGACAAGGGTTTGACAAGGACTAAACCAGGACTAAACCAAGACTAAACCAGGACTAAACCAAGACTGGACTAGGGCTCGACCAGGACTAAACCAGGACTAAACCAAGACTAAACCAGGACTAAACCAAGACTGTACTAGGGCTCGACCAGGACTAAACCAAGACTAGACTAGGGCTAAAGCAGGACTAAACCAAGACTAGACTAGGAGGACACCAGGACTAAATCATTACTAAACTGGGACCAAACCGAGTATCAAAACTGAAGTAGGACTAAACCAGGACCAAAACTAAACCAGGACTAAAGCAGGACTAGACCAGGACTGAGAAGCAGGACTTACAAAGAAACAGACTATGACACAATTATGATGTTAAAACTTGGTGAGGATGGTGTTTAAAATGCAGTTTTAAATAATTTTCATCTGCAAAAAAAATCTCCAAATAACAAATTCTTCTGTTCTCCTCTAATCTGTAAAGTTTATTTGGCACATTTCAAAACATTTCAAAAGTAGCCTTGCTGTCAAAAGTGTTTTAAAGGTCTAACAAAAAGAAAAAAAAAGCTGTAATGCCCCAAACATTTGCATAAAACACAAACAAAAGTACTCTAAAATACCAACTCACAAATAGACTGTGGTAGGTAATGTAAGTATCTGTACTTAAAGGTGCACTGTGCAACTTTTCTGGTAGAGGGAACTATTACTTTACTACATTTGAGAGCACGTACTGTACTGCACTATGTTTAAGACCAGGACTAAAAAAGTAAATGGCTGAGGGTTTTATTTTTAACACATTCAGAGTTCCAGAAAAACAAAAATATACAAATAAAAACAGCTAGAAAATTCAGCTGTTCCTGTTCCTGTAAATTCTGCACAAATCTTTACCAAAATCTGAAGCTTTATTTTTATTTGTTTTCACATCTTCCCAAAATACTTTTACTTTTTACTCTTTAAGTACACTTTTAAACAGGTACTTTAATACTTTTACGTAGATTTTTCACGTGATACTTTTACTTTTACTTGAGTGATTTACTTATTTATTTACTTAGTACAAAACAGAGTTTTTCTTCCGCCACTGCAAACCTTGCACAACTGTGGCACGCTGATTCCCAGAGCATGAGCGCCCCCTGCAGACTGCTTTGGGTTAAACACGTCCTCGGAGTCTGTCACTGTGGATGGAGGGGTTTGTCGTGAGTCTCTGTTATCTGATCAGAAAAACAGAAAAGACAAAACGCAGGAAACAGATGCAAACGTACAACCACACATTTCAACTTAAACGTGACATGATGTACTTTTTTTTTCTTACAGTTTTTCTCCGTTGGTTTGGCTCATTTCTTGAAACAGAAATGACATTCTCAAAACAACATGGACAAATCTCCAAACCACCTTGCAGTTGTTCACATCAGAATGACATTTCTCATTGATTTCATCAAATTTCAAATGTTTTAGTGCATGTCTCAAGTGTCTCAGTGCATCTTTGCCCATGGTTCTGTACAAGTCGCCTACAGTTAACACAATGAGCCCACGTTTAGCACATTTTACAAATAAATAGGTCTTGCTGATCCAAACTGATGAGTTGATTCTCAGTCTAATTGTCGTTCTCTCCAAACCATGTCAGCATCATTTCATTGTCTGAGTCATCATATGCACAATAGTCTGTTCAGTTGTCAACATTAGTCAGGAACATGATACCATGAACACCATATATGATTTTTTTTGGAACATTTGATAAATTCATGACAGTCCTTGTCAGTCAGGTGAAATTAGAACTTCCTATCACGCTATGTGATCATGTGGGACAGTGTGAATTTCCACTGTGGCCTGGTTCACTGCCCATCCAAGGATGCTCATGGAGCGACTACCACCGTACTCTCCTTTTCTCAATCTGATCTCAATCTTTTTTCCGCTTGGAGGAGGAGAGTGTGTGAACATCGGGCTCCAGACCAGAGGTCCCTGACTCTGTGGAATGGATGCAGGACATCACAGAGGAGGGAATGGTTGAGACATTTACCCCGTTTCTTTCCTTCTTTGCAGTCGTCAGAAGGAGGATGGCGACTGCGAAGTGTTACTGTAGAAACTTTATTTGCTTTATTTACAGCACTGTAGGCTACATATAATTTTTCTTTTTTTTTGTTTGTGTGTGTTTATATTTGGTACATGTACAGAATACTGTATACATTTTCTTTTTATTTACTCTAATGTATAGAAGTGACTTGATGTGTGTGAATAAAATGGTTAGAGTTTCATTGACAGTGTGAGTGCAGTGTGTGTGATGTCAAAGTTTGGAGGCTCCTCTTACTGTGAAATCCTTTTTTTTGTTTTGTTTGATCCATAATTGTATTGTGTTAGTTAGACCTCTGCCATAGTGACAAAACATCTAAGCATTTTGAGCTGCAGTGCTGACACAAGGCCAAAGGGACGATGCATTTTAGGGACAGTTATAAAGTAAACATTAAACATCAAATTTAATATTATGAAGCAGTAATATACGGCCCCTACCACTGTGAGGCGCTGTGGTTCTGTCTTTGTAAGTCCTGTCTCTCAATGGTACTATGTTATAACAGCTTGGGGTTGGTCTGTCTCTAAAGTGATGTTATTATTGCTTTGTCTAAAATGTTCCACAGTATGGCATTAAACTTGTCTATCATCATGAAGACAAGCAAGTGACCCCACCAAGCCATCAGATCTGTGGAGAGGCGAGTCGGCCCACACTAACAACACATTTTTCCAAATTATTCTTGTGTAACATAATATCTGTAAATGACTTAATGCAGGAAAGATCATTTTACTGCAGAAGATCTGAACCAGGTCTGAAACAGGTCTGAACCAGGTCTAAACCAAATCTAAACCAAGTCTGAAGCAGGTCTAAAGCAGGTATGGACCAGGTGTAAACCAGATATAAACCAGGTCGAAACCAAGTATAGACCAGGTATAAACTCAATCTAAACCAAGTCAGAATCAGATCTAAACCAGGTCTAAACCAGATCTAAACCAGGTCTGAACGAGTTCTGAACCAGGTCTAAACCAGACCTAAACCAGGTATGAATCAGGTCTGAACCAGGTTTAAACCAGGTCTGAACCAGGTCTAAACCAGGTCTGAACCAGGTCTAAACCCGGTCTGAACCAGATCTGAACCAGGTCTAAACCAGATATCTAAACCAGGTCTAACCAGTTCTGAACCAGGTCTAAACCAGACCTAAACCAGGTATGAATCAGGTCTGAACCAGGTTTAAACCAGATCTAAACCAGGTCTGAGCCAGATCTAACCAAGTCAGAACCAGATCTAAACCAGGTCTAAAAAAGATCTAAACCAGGTCTGAACCAGGTCTAAACCCGATCTAAACCAGGTCTGAACCAGATATGAACCAGTTCAAATCCAGGTATAAACCAGCTATAAACTCTAAACCAGATCTAAACCAGTTCTGAACAAGTTCTAAATCAGGTCTGAATCAGGTCAAAACCAGGTCTAAACCAAGTATAATCCAGGTATAAACTAATGCTAAATCGGATATATATAAACCAACTTTTGCTGCTCAATTTGATCAATCTAACGAGCACTTCCTGACTGATATCTGTATTGGGTCGCGACTATTTTCCTAACCCTCACCTGATCTATTACCCCTATGTAACCTAACCTAACTATAAACGGTTTCCTCAAATCTTGCGTACTTGTTGCCAGTCAAACCTCTCTCTATCCTCCAGGTTCTTCTCCTCTGTCTCATCCTTCTCTTTCTGCACTTGTTCTATCTGTTTTTCCAGTGCTCTGTTCCTCTCCCTCATCCCTTTACCTCCTCCATCTCCTCTCACACTTTATGTCTCCTCCTTCTACTTTCTCCATGTGTTTCTTCTTCTCCTCCTTCTCGTCTCCATCAGCTCCTCCAGTTTGGTGTCAGTACAGTGTTTCTGCCACACGAGGTCGCTGTTTCTCACTTAGATCTTGGAGTTGAAAAGTCGGATCTCTCTCTGGAATAGTCATGAATGGACTTTAGTTGTGCAGATTTCTTCTTCACTTCTACAGACAAACTTTGGACCTTCTCATCTACAATTCTTGATCTCTCTCTCTCTGAACTCCACAACCAAAGGACTGTCTTGTATCTGGGACTTTTTATGGATCGCTTAGACATGTTTGTAAAAAGTGGATAAAATGTTGTACAAAATTCTGGGCCCTGACTACAAATTATCTTGGTGGGCCCATATTACATGTTCTCCATATGAAAATTGCAAATTACAGATTTTGTAAGGGGCCCCTTCGTGCTCTGGGCCCTAATCGGAGCTAATTGGAGGCACTGCTCCATCTGAAGCTCTGTTACTCCAGTTAAGTAAATTAATTGAGTTTTGCTTTAACACAATCTGTTAAACTAAGAGCTGACAACAGGTGAGATGGTTTGGCTACGTCCAGACTGCAGGGTTTAACGCTCAATTTTGTGAAATCAGATTTTTTTGCAAGGTGGTTCACATTTCCAATTAAATGCAACTTGTATGTGATCTCCAGTGTGAACTTTAGACTCTCCAAAAGTGTCCTGCATGCGCATTGGAGGGCACAACAGTATTTACGGAAGTTGCCTAAACGCTGGGCTTGTCTCCCAAAATACGGTCCAGTTCTTGGTAAAACGAACAGGTTACACGTCCAAGGCTGCTTCGTTTAAGTCTTTAGTCTCCTTGCCTTTGGCTCGCAGGCTCTTTATTTTTTGTTGACATTGGAGCCTGGACCGCCTGTAGCCATGCCTGGACATTTCTTTGGCAATCATTTTAAAAACTGCCCGGTTCCGATAAGACCACTCCAATTTGACCTGAATACAGCGATCCCCCCCAAATATTAATAAACTCGCTAACCTCGCTTTCCCTCCATTGACTAGACTCCGAGCCTGACTTGTAGGTGGGATGAATGTGACCTGGCCGTTCAGACTGAAGTCACATGTCAAAATATTGGATATGTATCAGTTTCAGGAGCACATATCTAAGTGTCTTGGGTCGCATTTGAAAAAATCGGATCTGTGTCGTTCAGACTGTCATTAAAAGATCAGATCCAGGTCGCATAGGGGCGAAAAACTCGGATTTGCCTCACTTCTGGCAGTCTGAATGTAACATTGGTGCTCTTAAAAGTCAGTCTCAAATAATATTACGCAGTCAGAAACTTTTTCAGTAAGTCACTCTCACGTTTTTGTTAACAATCAAACTCGTAAGCAGGACAATGAACACTTCTATAGATCACAGGCTGCTAAAAAATGTGTTCAAGTGTTAAATCTAAATGGCCATGCAGATTATATTCTTGAGTTTTCAGACCATTTGAAGAGGCTGTGTTTGCGAATGTGTGCTTTGTGTCACGATGGTAGCTGCGGAATATTCTGCCAAAGACATTCATGCAGTACACCTCGGTGTTTTAAGATAATGATAACAATGACTCTGAAAGTGACCCAAATCCGATTTTTTCACCCCATGCGACCTGTATCTGATCTTTTAATGACAGTCTGAACAACACAGATCAGATTTTTTCAAATGTGACCCAGGCCACTTATTTGCTCCTAAAACCGATACATATCTGATCTTTGGACATGCGACTTCAGTCTGAACGGCCAGGTCACATTCATCCCACCTACACGTCAGGCTCAAGTCTAGTCAGTGGAGGGAAAGCGAGGTTAGCGAGTTTATTAATATTTGGAGGGATCGCTGTATATGTGCCAAATTGGAGGGGTCTTATCGGAACCAAGCACTTTTTTTTATTCATTCCAGTGCACATGCAGGACACTAATGTTTAATGTTCACACTGGAGATCACATTTAATTGGAAATGTAAACGACCTCGCAAAAAATCTGATTTCCTGCAGTCTGAACATTGCCTTAGTGCCAGCACACACAATGTAACTGATTTGTGTACAATCTACTTATTTTAATTTGAATAAACCAACATAAAAGTCCAAAATTGTCTTATAAGTCATGTTATAATGTTGTTACCTCCTCAAAAACAGACCTGGAGTTATGCTTTGTTTCATTTACACATGTTTGAATAATCCTGTATTATTAGTCTGTCTACATCTCCAAATGCTCTGTTCCCCCTTGTGATGTCACGAAGCAGTAGTTGAAGTTAATATTTCCTTTTACCATTAGTTCAGTAGAAATTGGCAATTCCGGGGCTGAAATAATCCAAATGATTCTAGTGAAGGTGTCTGGAGTTTAAAAACAGAGCGGAGCACTTCCTGTATTACCAC